CGACGGTGGCGGACTTCCAGAGTTCCACTTCCTCATGAGCTAGCACACTCTGCCTCGATTCCAGCAGCTGTAAAAAAAAAAAAAAATGAATCAGCACTATGCGATGGGATGCACTGCGTATGGACACAACACATCTATCAATGCACCTGAAAAATAGTCACCAAATAAAGTCTTACCCTCTTTCTTTTCTGAATGCTTGCCAGCTTCCGCGCGCAACGTGTTCTCTGGCTGCGTATTTCTGAAGCTCCTGCATACCGTCTCATAATACGTCTTACAGGCAGCTGGAAAACAATTAAATGAGAGTGGTATGAATAATTGGAGGTCACCGCCTCATTATGAGACGAGATTAGTCTGTGAAAACAAAATGTACAGTTATGATCGGTATCCATCCGTATCTATTTCCTTTTACCGCAGAATGAAAGCATAATCTTTAACTCTTACCCTTGCTCCGGTTCATAGCGCCTGCAATTTGTCTCCAAGTTGTGAAGACAGCGTACTGCTTCCTGTGAATCACAAAAAATACACTTTAATAAAGCTTGTTCTTGCAAGGCTACTATTAGCCGTAGCTTTAGCTTTTAGCTTAGCTAGCAGTAATCGAACATATATTTAACGCTAGCTTCTCTTCTTTGAATTCGTCTCTCCCGGCCAGTTGTTGTTCGACTGAAGGCAAGTTGAACGCCAGACGTCGTCCAGCAATTGATCACGTACCAGCAAAATCCAAACAAAGGAACTGGAGATAAAGTTCTTCTGAGTATAGCTCCTCCAATCACATACGAGGTTATTGTTATACGGAAGGACTCGCGAGAACAGCTGCGTCTATCCTGTTTTTTTTTTTGCTTTATTGGCAATTCCGTGTAACAATACAGAGTAATTCAAACATCAAACAAAGATACACAGCAGTTGGTGACATTATAACTTAAAAAGAAATGAGACATAGAATGTAAAAAATAAATAAAAATAAAACAAGGGAAACAAACATATAAATAAATAAACAAATAAATAAAATAAACATAAAATAATAATAGCTAGGGGTTTACATTGAGTTTATGATCATTTAACTTTTTTTAGCTTCCTGTCCTAAACAGTCTTTAAGGAAACATATTAGAAGATGCAATATTGTATATGTGAGAGAGGAGTTGCTGTAAAACAATGGTTTACCACAGATTTAAAACTAGTAATAGCATAAAGAAATATTGAAATTCTAAAACAGTCTTTAGACTTTTTATCAACAATTACTGTGGGTAGCACAACTTGTGTTACAGAAAATAGCAGGCTTTGGAGATATGTTCTGGAGAATCTTGATTTATACCATACTACAGAACATTTCAAAAGGCTGCTGACTTTTTCTATGTTTATAGGTGAAAATAATAACCACTACAAAAGAGCAACTTTGCTGTTCTCCATAAATGTTGGGAAAATTGTTTAAAAGTTTGTTGCATAAGGGCGTGCTTTGGTTGCCCAGTGTTTAGCGCACAAAACCCATGTACAGAAAGATTCTTTAGTCCTCGACATGGCCGCATGTCTCTCCCTCTCTCATACCCCCTTTCCTGCCAGCCTACTGCCAAAAAAACGAGACACTAGTGCCGTAAAAACTCCAAAATGTGCTGTAAAAACTCCAAAAAAAAGGCTCTTGCATAAAAGCTTCTACAACACAATGCTGTTGATGGTAGATTGTTTTGAAGGGTCAGACAGGAAAGCTTGGTAAACAAATCTAACATATCTGAGATGCCGATACCATTTACAGTGAAAGAAAGGACAACGGAGAGAAAATGTAGAGAATAATGTAGGAGTGCTGCTAGAATTCCAGTTCCCAGATCTGTGTTTTCTATTACTTCTACAACTACTAAAACTTATGTTATAAATGTACGTTATTGGCAAGTGAAACCCTGTCAGAGCTATCCTTAGATATCAGCCCAGTTACAGTTTGCCCTGCAAAAATAAATCTGCTCTCTTGAAAATCCACAATTACTTAAGTGGAAAAGTTTCACTTCCCTGTTACAAGCGCATAAACATGGATGTCGCTGTGCACCTGCAGGCTTCCAGATATATTTTTGGAACTTGGATGTTTCTTCTTCGATATGCTTAGTCTATAGCAACTTTGGATACCAGTTTGAGCTGAAATTCAACATTCCTGATTGTATCATCACATAAGCATCGTGGCCTGAATTTCCTCCTTTTGAAAATGTACAGATTTACCACTCTAAGGTATCTGACATAGCTTTGAACATACATGACCTTGTTCTTACACTGAGCTTGCTTCTCAGAACTTGTCCTACTTGTTTTAGGTATGTTGCTGTTGCTCTTTACCTTGTGGCATCTTAGATAATTACTCATAGCACTCTTCGACATCTTTTATTCTCTCTTTATGAACATATAAGCACACACACGGTTGATTGCAGACCTCACAAGGCCTACAATGACTGAACAGAGTAAAGGCAGACTAGATGATGGATGACTGGTTGCAAGAAGGCTATAAGCAGACTTCATCTAAGTGTTTGAGCTCAGATTTGGTTGAAAATAAACATAGAAGCAGGAAAAACCATGTTAAAGGTGTAGGATAAATCACTGAGGTGTGACAAGGAAGCTTTGGGTCAAAAATGAGCAAGATGTTTGACTAAGGCATGAGAGAAGGATCCTGGGCTTGTCCCTAAACTACACCTTCTGTTTAAAGCCGATAATGTTCTTCATGGTACTTTTTTAGAATTTGATAAGTCAGATGTTTGAAAAAAAAAATCCACCATGCTTTAATGTGTTATTTCTTAATATAAATATAATCAATTATCTACCCTTTAAAATGTTTTTTAAATACTAGTTTATGTCATGTTATTAAGTTTGCCAAGCACAGATCGACGTGGTTGGATCATAGAAATAGAGATTGATCTATTCGATTAAACAATCAATCGTTACATACCTATTATTTAGTAACCATGTGAGGAATCCAGATAACCACCACTTACAGTGCAATGTAGTTTCTAATCCAATGATGACACAAAGGTTGTTAATGGAGCTGTCAAGTCGTTGTCTTTCTGAGACAGTGTGGAAGTACCATTGCTAGTGCTTTGCTGCAAGCAGAGTAACAGAGCCTGCTCCTTATTTCTGTTTAGGACCTGATTCTACTCATTACCTCAGGGGATGCTCCTTTCCTCAGCACCAGAACCTATCTGACATCTCAAGCTGTTAGAGGGGCAACATGTTTTAGTACCATGGATGGATGCTGATCATAAAATGGAAGCACACATCAGAGCCGTTGTAAAGTCCAGCTTTTTCAACTTAAGGCACCTAGCCAAAGTAAAACCCATTCTTTCAAAACAACATTTTGAAACAGTGAGCCATACATTTGTGACCACACGGCTGGATTACTGTAACTCACTTTATACAGGGGTCAGTGACTTTTATATTTCCCAACTTCAGAGGGTTCATAATGCTGCTGCACGTCTTTTAACAGGTACACGAAAATTCGACCACATTTCCCCTGTTTTAGCTTCCTTACCCTGGCTCCCAGTACATTTTAGGATTGATTTTTAAATAATTTTATTTGTTTTTAAAACTCTTAATGGCCTTGCCCCTTCTTATCTGTCTGAGCTGTTGCATTCTTACACACCCTTCCGTTCCCTCAGGTCAGCTGATCAGTTGCTTCTGAGGGTCCCAAAGACAAAATGCAAGCTCAGAGGGGACCGTGCTTTTTCTGTGGCAGCTCCTAAGCTGTGGAATGATCTGCCTCTGAGCATAAGACAGGCCTCTTCTCTTGCTGTTTTTAAGTCCCTTCTTAAGACTCATCTTTTTTCCTTGGCTTTTGGCACAATTTGAGAGGTTTTACTTTGTTTTATTCTCTTTGTACACTAATATGTATTTTACACTCGTTTTTTTTATTTTTATTTTATAATTTTATTGTATTTTATGATTGTGTACAGCACTTTGGTCCTGTCCGGTGCATAAAGTGCTTCATAAATAAAGTTGGTATGGTATGGTACCATGTTGGTGTTCCTCTCAAATTCTGGGTCCTGAATTGTCTGAGGATACTGAGTATGCCTGTCTTTGTTTCAAGTTTTAATCTGTTATTATTTTCTGTGGTGCTAAGTAGGGGTATAAATCACACCCATCATGGCGATTCAATTCAGTATCGATTTCCTGACCCAACAATTTGATCATTTTCTATACTCAAGAATACACCATGATACGATTCGATTAATTGGTTCATTTTTTTTTTTTTTTTTTTTTTTTTTTTTTTTTTTTTTAACTGTTGAAAACCGTCATGGCTTCCTTGGGTCTGTTGATTCAAGTGCAGGTCACTTAGATGGAGTGACCTGCACAAATTCTGGCTCCTGTATTGTCTGAGGGTACTGAGTATGCCTGCTTTTGTCTCAAGTTTGAATCTGTTATTATTTTCTGTGGTGTGATCAACCTAAGTTTCCCCATTCCAATTTCCTCAAGTGGGTTGAGGATGATTAATTTTAATGCTGAGCTTATATTGAATGTGTTGTAGCTGAAACCTAAATCATTGTGGGTATGGTTAAAGAGGCCATGAGCTCAACATAGTCTTTCTGGAAGATACGTGACAACTGACAACACTCGTAAACCTTCATTAACTTTTTTTCTGTCAAGTGTCTTTTCTGTAACTGGTGCCGCAGCAGGGACATCCTGATCACAGTGTTCAGTGTTTATAACTTTCTGCAGCACGCCCGCACCGCACCTACACTGTGTTCAGTGTAAACCCAGTGTAAATTCCCGCACATAGTTTCTTTGAGGAGGCCAAGAATGACTCACATTAGTCTCACCGTCCTAGCCTTGAATTATCTGAAGACATATGGCTCATCTACTAAATCAACTAAAGCCTGACATTCATTTTCAATAAATGAACCCTCAAAAACTCTTATTTGAAATTGAATTGTATGATATTCTTAGGTGTGACAAAAATAAACAACAGCAAAAAAACTGTGAGGAGTTTCAGATTTTGTGTCATTATTTGCTGACCTTTAAATAAAAAAGTAATCACACATGAGCAAAAGCAATTACATTTTTTTATTTTGTTTTGATCAGAAATCCCTTGTTACACATATTCAAAAAATACATTTGTCCAGTAGTAATTATGGTTGATTAGTAGTAATTCAAATAAACCCAGCCCAAACGTTAATATGGTACTTGGCAAGATCATAATGTTGCATTATTTGTTTAACTTAATAAACAACACATCGTTTCCAGGATTCCAGTTAATGATTGGTTACATTTTCTTATGTTTCTTAGTGAAACATTAACTTCAAACACTACCAACAAGAACATGAAGAAAAAGAGCAAGAATAGAAAGAGCAATAAAGTTAGAGAATTGGTTTAGGGTTCCTCCACTGCCAAAAATACTGTCATCAGTGGTTGTACTGACAGTAGTAGCAGGGCTGGTAGTACCACAGTTGAAATTTAAGTCGCTGTCCAAGCCAGTGGAGGTAAAAGTAACAAAGCCTGGTTCCATGCCAGTGACCGTGTCACTGATCCATCTCTGGTACTGGGACACTCGAGCGTAGACTCCAGGTCTCATTGGTAAAGCACAGCCTTCACCAAAACTCACAACTCCTGCCTGGACCCACGTAGAACTATTTTGGATTTGTACAACCAGTGGTCCCCCTGAATCACCCTGTGGGGAAAAAAGTTGGATGCCTTTAGTGGCTGGTTAAGAGTTATGTAATTTTTTTAATATAAACTTTTACATTCTCACTTTTTGGGTCATGGTCAAACAAGTTTTTCATAAGCACTCAAGTTTAGTTCTTCACATTATTTACCTGGAATTACTCTATTGAAAATGTTTAATGGAAAAGAGTGGCTTTCAGCAGAGCCTTTTGAATTGATTGGGTAAAACAGCTCCTTGGTAGATGTTTGGTCCAACTTATGCTTTTTCACTACTGTCGTTCCTGTTTCAACGATGAAATCAAAGATTCTGGGAAAACAGATGTGATAGCAGCAGCTGTGCATATGTTTGCCTGTGCTGCTACGTTTATATTAGTTCAACTGTGGGTTTGGCATCTTTTGTCACAGCTACTGTATATGTCCCTTCTTAAACCATAAAATCGGAATGTGATAAGCTTGCAGTACAAGATGGCTTGTTGGATGTTATAAACTAAGAAATCACATAAGAATTCAGCTTGCAGGCGAAAGTATACAAATATGGTTTTACTCAGTTGTGCCACTGCAGGAAAACACTACGCGGTTTTACAATATCTAATTTAAGCAGATAGAAAATTAAGCATTATGATTCGCAATATCCTGATTAAAGCAGTAAAAAAAAAGTTTTCAGTAAAACTTTACTGAAATGCTTTACAAAATTTAGTTGGTCTTACCTTTTGTCTAAGCATTCTCTAAAACTTTCTTCTGTATAAGAGGTTATTCAAATGTTTGCAGTTCAACAAAGATTTGCTATTGAGCCATCATTGGAAATCAGTAGGAAAACATCTAAAACTACGTATTAGCACAGCAGACACCACTCGTCTACGACTTAACCTACCATCAGGTCAAAGGGGGTACAGGCCCACAATCTTTTTTTCAAATGGTGCTTTTTGTGAACGATAAAAGGAAATAAGTTCAATGTAACTAAGTTAATTTTTTTTTATAGTGGCTGCCCACCTTAATTCATTAATGAATATGCCCTAACAAATAAGATTTTTTTCCTGCCTTATAGCATTACCTAGTGATCAATCACTGTATTTAGTGTAACCAGGCTATTTATTTATCTGTAAATAGGAATCAGGGTTTAATTTAGTTAATTTACTGGTGATATGAGTTTGAATCATGGCTAATGTGGGCATACTTTCTCCAAATTAAACTAAGTAAGCCCATGGACTCAGCCTATCAAAGTATCCTCTAAGACTTTCCTCCTAGCTGTGGAAGAGAAACCAGAAGACTACCCTCAGAATTGCAAAGGAGTTGGACCTGGAGATGACATAGGATTTTATTTAGTTTTTCTTAGGAAGTTTTGCAAGGGTACTGCAGAAATTCTGGGAAAGAACTGAAAAAAATAATTTATCGTACAAACTAAGAAACAGTGGCATTTGTGCTTTTGGCAAAAATGATCGTTTAAGCTGCAGATCTAGTTGTAGAGGCCTATCCTTTGTCACATTTGTCACATGAAGCTGATATTGATGGGAGTGTTTTCTTTTTTTTGGCTTCCACACGTGTAGTCCGATAGACTATCTGTATCAGTCAACTGAAAATTTGCAACTACGCCAACCACCCACACAAAATGAAATGACGAGAGAACAACAGCTTAAATGTGCTATGGTTTGCAAATGTAAACATCACAGATCCTGTGATTTACCTCATAAATACCACTACTAACAAAGAATTTGAAAAAAAAAAATCCCTGGAAATAAATTGCTGGAAATAAATGAAAGAGGCTTTAAAAAAGTTGGAAGTGGCTGTATTCTTTATTTCCTCATGTGGTGTGGTGTATTAAGCTTTCTGTTTATGTTGTACAAACTCCCTTGTTGATAGCTAGACTGATTTATTAGGGATTCAGACGTATTCCAGAATACTTTAGTTTAGCATCTGTTTTAGTAACATCAAACAGTTGGACATAGGCTGAAGATCTTCACTGCTGAATATACAAACCTGAAGCAATTTTAATAGTTACGTACATGTGTAGTTTTATTAACTCATATATATTTTAAAAAATTAAAATTAAAAAGAAAATAGTTTTTCCATCTTGTATATTGTATTTCGTAAACTAGTCCCCTTTTAGATGCACTTATCTCAGTATGTGGTAGAATGAAAATAAAGAGTTTTATTTGTTATTACTTGTTACTCAAGCTGATGTAACGAAACCGGAGGTTTCAAACGAATAACATTATATTCGTACATGTAATTTGTCAGTGAGTTTGAAAGAAACACTACAATGAAAAAGTGGCAGTTACCTGACAAGAGTCCTTTCCCCCTTGTATAAGTCCAGCACACAAGTAGTTATTTGTGTCCAGGTCCCCAGATAAAATAAAAAGCTCAAAATAGTCCTGGTAGTAGCATTTGCATCTGTTGTTTCCCACTATTGGTACCTCTACTTCCTGCAGGGTGTTGGAAATTACTCCAGCATCTAAGAGAAAATAATAATTTCAATGTGATGTTTGTACTGAATCAATGAGTGTTACATTTAGAGAAAAGAGATATCTTGTAACTTACCAGTAACACCAAAACCTGTGACCATACTTGTAACCCCATCATGGAAAGTGCTGTTTTCTGAAGCCAAGCAGACTGGCTGTATATAGTTAGTAAAGTTAACGGGTGACGAAAGCTTCAAGAGACAGATGTCATTTTCAAATGTATCACTCTGGTATTCAGGATGGCAGATGATTTCAGACAGTTTTCGAGTCACTTTGTTGGGGCTGGAAGCATTTAGTCTTGTAACACCAAGCTGGACTTCTGTTTGGTTGAGATCATCTCTTTGAGTAAAGAATCAAATATTTAGGTGTCAATAGAGCAATAGAGTAGGATGAATGCTTATCTTACAAACCATGTTTTAACAGACACCCATGAAAATGCCTATGTACTTGCTTGGTTGTAATACGTATGAAAGAGAAACAAAATTATAGGTCATAAATGAAACTAAGCACCTGGCCATCCTGGCCAGTTTATAAAGCTGTTAAAAATACAGAATATTTAACCATTGAATGCATTTACTGTTCAGGTCAGTTGTTCACAATACTTTCCATAATAAAGACACACTTCTCAATTGATACACATATATAAGTACATAGAAAGGTAGGTGACTTGGAGTTAGGTGTCAAAGATGCTCAAAGATTGGAACCTGAAATTATAAATTTATATAATTCCAATTCTTCACATACTTACAATACAAATTATGCATTACAAAAAAAGTTAATTCCACTGTGTTAGTCTCAGCAAAGTTTGAGCTCAGGTAATGATAAGAAGTGTAGTTTCAGACTAACTTTAATCATACAATCCATATTCCCAGTAACATTAGCACTGTTTCACATTCATAGTATGATAATATCTTCACTATCTTTGACATTTAGTACTGTGCATTGCTCAAAAGTTTATCCTCTCTAACATTCCGACAGTCAGTCTGACTTAAAATCTTGACTTTTGTTTCATGTTACCATGAAATCACCTGATAAATCATTAAGTTAACCACTTAGACAGATACAAAATAACAACTACTCTTACCTGGTTATGCAGTGAGCAGCTGTCAGCACCCATTGATCATTTATCAGTGATCCTCCACAGAGACTTCTACTTATAGTTAAAAAGACCTGCCAGGGCCAGGCTCCTGGCTGGGCATCCTGACCCCCAATGATTCGGGACTCTTTTACTAGTACATTACCACATACTGGCAACAGAGAAGGGACAAAAGCCAGAATGAGTGAAAGCAGAGCAAGTGTGCATATCTATAAAATGATATGATCTGACAGTTTGTTCACAGCAAACACAATTCCGTCAAATTTGTCACAACCTTTGGCCACTGTTGCTTGTTTGACATATTGTTGGCAATTCGCATGGCAGAGGAAAAGGGTTTCCTCCTGATGCTTCACTGCATCATTGAATTAGAAATGCTTCCATATTATCTTCTGCTTAAGGGTTTTACTTCAACATAGCAGACCTGGATTTTATAGAGCGAGTCTGAGTGCTTGATTTATATGGAAAGCCAAACAAAGCTCCTGGTGTTGGAAGTCCCTCGGTTCACCAGTTTCTCCAGAGAGGGAACATGTTTAGAAAGTAGCCTATGACTGTCATGGTTTTGGTTCTTTTAAGTTTTCTTTTTGAGTTTTCAATTTCACTTTGATCCAGTTATTTCTTTGTGGCCAATGTTATCTTATAAGGCGTTTGATGGACAATTATCTTATAAGGTGTATTATTTTCATTCATACTGTTATTTATAAACAACAGAGCAGTGGCAGTTTGTTATGGAGATTTTTTTATGCCATAACCAAGAGCACCTTGAGAGCGGGACTTCCTCTACTTGCACTCAAAACTTATATTTGCACTTCTGGTTTCCCTAAAATATATTCACTTCTCCATCAAAGAAGAGAATACCCAAAGCAGTTCTTCTACTGGCTGGAAAGGCTGTTAGGCAATGATCTAACTCCAGTGCAAGAGAGAATGAAGAAAATCCACAAACACAGCCAATGGGTTTACGAATGTACCGCTGACTCGAACAGGGAATGGCTTGCATTCCAGTAGAAGGAAATATGTTAGAGAAGAAAATATCTGTGCAAGAAGCATTAGATCTGAGAGCAAAAACAAAGGTTTGATGGAGAAGACAATAAATTTACAAGAAAGCAAATTTAAAGTTCTTAATGCAAGCATTACAAGTTTTAAATGGTAGTAGTGGAAACCTGCTCTCAACATAGGAAATGTTTACTATTGATTTTAGAAGGAAAAATCCTCCATAGTTTGGTACTCAATTATTAGTTTGTGATATTTTAACACTGAATTTATTGTACTTTTTTATTTCATTTAAAAGCTGTTTTGAATTGTTCCTATTTTTGCAATGATGATAAAAAGTATAAATAAATTACATTACCTGATGACAATACCTAAATTTCCTATTTAATAGATTAGAAAAGGAAAACATACATTTGCCCAACCATTTCTGGAATCAATCTTGACTTATCTTTCTGTGTGATGTAGGTCAGAAAACAGAACAAAACTTGTTAAATATATTGCTTACCTGGCTCCTTTGATTGACAACCTGAAATGCCAAAGAGAGAGTCATGTTAAGCTAGTCATGAGCAAGTGTGGGAAATAAGAGAAGGAAACTAAATGAAATATTTTCCAACATAGCTGCTTGCAGAAAGATTCAGGTAAGTCTGCTTCTTAAAAGATTTAAGTAAATATGTGTCACCATTGGTGGCATAAGTACCCATAGACTAAAATATCCACACTGTATATATTTTGAGCATAGACACCCTGTCGAAGACCATGTCACAGTATCTTGGTTTAAGAGTGTACTTTGACTAGGCCTCTCCAAAACCTTCATATTCTGTGGAAATACTGCTCACCTGCATAAGTATGTGTGACTTTATTATGCATTTTTCTTTTTTTTTTATTAGACAGAATTTACACTTATTATTATTACAGATTTAACACTTATTCACGTCTATTAAGCAGCACAAAAGTCAAAGCAGTTTTTTTTTTGTGTTAAGCCAGGCTACATTTATATGAAACAAAATATTTAATTATCCAAAGCATAAAGGTATGAGGGAAAAAAACAACAACAAAAAAACTACTGTTTAATCAGTAAGAGGATAAGTACCTTTCCATTCTAATGTAATTTTTGAAGACATAAAAAAGTTGCCTCTTATTTGCCTCTTGGCCTTGTTTTAAATTTATATGCTCAAGAGCAAAAAACTGCCAAAACTCCTGATTTAATAGAGATGGTCAGACATATTGCTGATTTAATAAGATGTCAAACTGATTACTAGTACCTGTTTAGCCAATTTTCATCAAAGTGGCATTAACTTAACATCCACTTGGTAGTATGGCATTTCCTTGTTGTCGATTTCTTTTGATCACTAAACGTCTGCTGACTTGACTTGTTTAAATGTTATCACTACCACCAATCAGTTGTTACTTTCAACTTATCAGGGTTAAAAAACATTATTTATTCCCCATTGTGTATGGATTTGTGCTTACAGAGTAAAAGTGGAAAAAACATCTAGTGAAATGCTTTAATTTAAAATGAGAATGTAAACATAAAAGTTTCACTCTACACTACTTGTACAAGTTTGTGACGATCAGTCATGCAGCGTTAAAAGCAAAAATAGTGAGTTAACAGTACAGTATAGTTTAGTCTTCCCGACAAACTTTGAATCCACAAAAAAAATTGAACTCTTATATGTGATGTATGTGTTGAGAGCCATTAGGCATCCTGTAAGGTTACATATAATAAATGCAACATTAATTCTTACCATTGCAGAGCATGCTGATCATCATTAAGTACCCAAACAGCCTTTGGAGAGTCATTTTCAAAGTAATGTAAGATAAATAGCACTTAGACTATAATCCTCCCTGATGAAGATACAAATGAACATTCAGTTCCACTCAAATGCCAGATTCTACCTGAACCTTTTATACCACCATCAACCCCCTTTAAGCAGGTGTAACCAAAAACCTGTTTGTCCTGAAGTCTGAGCTCAGTTTGCATTTTTGCATACATCTAATATGTTTACTTAAGAAAGCCACTTAGTTTAATCTTGGAAGATAACTTAAACTTTGTTTTTGGCTGCAAGCATAAAATATTTAACTTCTTTGAAATTAAAAGTAACTTAGATAATTGTGGAAATAACAAGAGAAAATATTAATGCATATAAGTATAAAATACCTCTTACCACTGTATAGTAGAATGGTCATCAATAAATATCCAGACAACCTTTTCAAGAGCCATCTCTAAAGTCATTTCTAAAGTATGCCAAGCCTCAAATTTCAAAAAAACTTTCATTTATAGGTTCAGCTCCTTCCCCATTATAATGCTTTCCATTCTCTATTGTGTTGTAGATATTTTGTGCAGATAAAATAGGTTAACTCAACTAAACTTTAACAGCAATATAAAGTAAGTAGTATTTCTTCTCCTAAATGAAAGTTAAAATGTAACTATCTTTGCGTAAGTGCAAGAAATGATTCATTGTTGTGCTTGCTGCACCTTCCAAAACTATTCATACTTGTTAAACTGTTTTTTTTTTTTTTCGTTACATGATAACCACAAGAGCGAGGATATTTTATTGACATTTAGCATGATAGACCAGGAGAGTTGTGAGAAAATAGATACATGGTTGGGAATTTTATTTATTGTAGAAAAGTGTGTGCATTTTTTTCTCTATTCTTGTCAGTTAATCTTTTCTTATGCCTTGTCTTGTGTCTTGTGCCTTGTGGGCCTATGACTTCCAAGCAATCAAAGGTATCTACTCTAGAAAGAGCAAGATGGATTTTTCTTTTGGTTTGAGTCCGTGCTTTAGGTAGAATATGCAAAGCTATTTTTTATTTTTTTTTTTATGAAATTGCTGGGAATTATAAACAACTCAATTTAGCGTGTATGTCATCCACCTTATATATTTCAGAAATGAATAAAAAGAACAATTTAATTTAAGTTAATCTTGAATCTCTTTTTCTCAGTTAACTTTTTACACCTCGGTAGTTAAATTATCATTTTATCTAAAGTACAATTACCACTAAACCTAACTTGATTTACTCCTTAAATAAATATTAGTAGGAACACTTGATATATATTAAATTCATCACTTACTTAAATAATAAGACATCGATTCCTCTGTATGAATCATGAATGTAATGTGAAAAAAAGAAACAAACCTCCCCGCTGCACAGTGCAGCATTTCAAAATATTCTCGATTTCAAAAACCGATGGTTTACATCGAATTAAATTCATAGTCGGGTGTTGATCCAATCAGCTTTTACAGCTTGTCTGCCAGGGTCACAATTCCAGGCTCCACCAGTCAATTGGGGAAAGACAGGGCACAGTCTGGATGGGTCGCCAGTCCATTGCAGGTTATCCCAGATAATAGGCACACACACACTCACTCCTAAGAAAAATTTAGAGACAACACTTGACCGAATATTGATGATTTCATACAAAGTTTACACAGATATCCCACACATACATGGCTTGAACCTATAAACTCCGGTGCTAAAAACTAGTGTTGCACCGATACCAGTATCTGGCGGGGCCTTGATCCAGCACCAAAATGGTGGTATCGGTAACGGCGAGTACAAACTAATAGGGCACCGATACCATTTTAAAGCCGTACGTTTATTCAGCTATTGTCACCCATTCCAGGTCGGCAATAAAAAGTTCTACTGGATTCACTGTATTAGTCTGTTTCCTGCTTCACAAAGGTAGGCAGCAGCTTGACAAAGCCATGATGGCAATTATTTTAGATCCAAGCAGTATGCAGTTCTTTATATATAAACACATACATTCATTTCAAATAGATGGTATCGGTATCAGCCAATACTGCACAGCCAGGTATCGAGTATACGTATCAGGGCCAAAAAATGGCATTGGCACTACTAAAAACTGTGCCACTATACAGTTAAAATTGAGCCTTCTAATTTGTAATCCATTGGATCAGTGAAACATAGTATTTCTGTGTGTGTAACTCATTTTCAACATTGAAACAGCCCTTCTGCTCTCTCTCCAGGTAGTATGCTAAATGACAAAGCTGTTGAGTTTCGGCTGCGCTCTCATGGAGGAACCGTTCAAAATTTATTTCAGCAAGGATTGAAATTGCAAAGCTTAGTTAGTGTCAAGGAATAAACTCCAAATCCATCCATCCATCCATCCATCCATCCATCCATCCATCCATCCATCCATCCATCCATCCATCCATCCATCCATCCATCCATCCATCCATCCATCCATCCATCCATCCATCCATCCATCCATCCATCCATCCATCCATCCATCCGTCAAAACTGTAACAAGTACATTTATTTTTTTTTATTTACTACTAGAATTTTACTTCAGAAATGCTCTGTGTCCGAACATGATTTATACCATTTGTTCAGAAGCTCATAAAGATAAAGATGACATCACAAAAATTACGTTATAGCAACTGAAGAACACTCGAGGTTTAAAGGACCAATGCCTCAGCAGGACCTTGAAAACGAACAAATGCATTCAACTTTAGTGGAATGGAGTACTGCATTGTTATCTTTACAGATCTGCCTAAAATGTCAGTCAGACAGCTGCAGTTGATCCAGAATGCACATGCTTGTGTTTTTTTTTTGTAATTATTCATGAAAATAAGGTTAGTGGAATGTGGGAAAGAATAAGGAAGTGTCCGCCAATAAAACAGGACCTTTAGAACTGTTTTTATGCAAGCATAGGTCAACAACAAGAACAATGGCTAGGTTGACCAACCAAATCAATTTAGTTTATGATTTCATGATTTACCTACTTCACTCGTAAAGAATGATGAAGTCATGTTTCTTTTGTTTCAAATTGTTTTTTTTTGTCATTCTCATTATCTATCTTTTGTTAGGCATTTGTTATTAATCTTTTGATTCTTCCGATAAGGATGGGTATAAAACATGAAGTATTTTCTTTAAATTAGTATATTTGTAGAAAAAACTCCAAACTTTGAGTTGGGAATTTACTTTTTTTATATATAAAGACTTGTGCCATAATTCATGCATGCCTATTTTTAAACACGTTTTTATATTTTGAAATATGTATTCTCTTGTTAAGAGAAATAAGTAATTATAAAATAATGCTTAGATGAATGATCAAATATAACTTTTTCCATGTTACAAAGGTTGTGTTGGTGTTTGGCATCCACGGGCTGTATGCCCAACTCCACAACTCACTGAACTTCCACCAGCTCCTTTGTTTCTTGTCATTCATTACTGAATGAATGACAAGAGATCATGGATACTGAAGTTAGATTTACAGTACCTGCATTAATCAGTCAGTTTAGTAATGAAAGACAGAAAACTAAGGACCAAGCTAAAGTTCAGGAAATGGTGGATTTGGGCATATAGCCCATTAAAACCTGTCTAAGAAGTGTTTGAGGGATGTTTGGTATTAAACCTTCATTGTGAGACATATTCTGGTGAACTGTCATTTCCTCCTTATTTGATTTACCTGATATGTTCTGCAGTCCTAGCCAGTGTGTAATAGTGTAATAACTTTTAAGTATTTCATAATGTGCCTAGATATTTAAATAAAATTATGTA